TGTAGAGCTTTGGGAGAGAACTAAACAAGTTCAAGTGGACCAAAAGATGAAGAAATTATGCTGGCGTTGGATATGACACACGTTGAGAAAACCTGAGAACAATTTAACTATAATGTCTTTGTACTGGAACCCACAGAGGCATAGAAATAAAGGAAAATCAACAAACACATAAAGGGCGCTAGAGAGCCAAGTTAAAAAGATGGGAAGGACATGAGGAGATCTGCTTGCGATAGCGAAGGATGAATCGACTTGGTGTGAGTTGGCTGAGGGTCTTTGCTCCACTATGGATTAGAAAGGAAGAAGAAGAATCTGATGGAAAGTAAACACAGTCAATATGAATTTCGCTACAACACTTATTGAATGCCAATCCCTTTATGTAAAACACACAAAAAAATGACACTATCAGCATATGCTGGATGTTGGTATGTTATCACAATTGACAGCACTGTACATTTGACATTTCCATGCCTGCTCAGTCCTCCGATGCAGCAGCCACTCCAAGGTGGAGTTGGTTATGTCCCCTATCTCAGCCTCGAAGGTGGTATAGACGTGCTTCACTGTACTTTTTTTTCCCCATACTTGTCTAATCATCGTCATCATCAGGTGTCTTGCTAACTGGTGTAGCGATCATGCACAGTCTCACGAAAAGATATAGAAGCAAATGAAAATTAGACCGATCTTCACAATGAAACAAACATAAATAGAATGTGAACTTTGCAGTTACAGAGCCTTCATCAGCACATGACATAAATCAACAAAACCACAAGAACAGACACAAATACACAAAATTAATTAACTGGCAATAGCAGTCACTTTGTTGAATGACCTCAGAATAAAAAGATTTTTGGTCTTTAGAATTACAGACTGACTGTTGTTATATATTTTCCCACTATTCTTTACTTTGATATTACCATTACTTCCGTTTTCCCATCATTCAAGCGGAGGACCATCTTACCACTTTCTTCTGCCACAAGTCCCTGTAATTATTTCTGACTTGTAGTGATTATCAGCATAATGTAGGCTGTATATGTTATTACGTTATGTTTATGTTATGTCCACCAACCACAATTCCTGGCATATGCATGACAGATTTTATTCATCTTGTCTATGAAAATAAAATATTTTGATAATAACAAAAACGACGTTGGATTTGAAAGAACAGTCACAGAAGGCATCATACCCAATAAGTGGGGCTTGGACAGGCAAGAACGAAGAGGGTTTAACAACATAACAGATACCCTGGGCAGGAAAGTGCCAGGGGCAGAGGTACAACGTTTTTTTTACGTGTTCTGGGATAGGTGCGTTGTTCTGAAAAGAACGTGCTTAAAAAAGAAATGACTTTTCATTTATTTTCCATTGTTGTGTATGGATTACATCCTTCTCTGAGCACTGAACAAAAGAAAACCATTCTCCGAGATCAAGAGATGATGTACACTCATGGTACAGAGACCAGCAATACATTCTTCTAATTTTTAAATAATTTTTTTTTTTAGTTCCCCCGACAACACAAAGGCAATAGCTGTAAAATACTGTGACCATATCCTGGAATGTTCTGTTACGATGTTTTATTCAGAATTTCCTTGGGCTGTTGAATGTGTGGTTGCTAAGTGGTCATGTAAGTGCTAGTCTGTCATTCACTGTCATCACCTACAGTTGTCCTATAGCCACACAGACTCCAGTGACCAAACTTCAATATTCATAATTAATCCGTTCCTGAGGGAAGGACGCATATTAAAAAAGACAAATATCAAAAGAGTTTTCCCGTCTAAAAAATGTTTAATCTATTCCCAGTCCCAGATTGTGCTTATCTATCATTAGAGAGAGAGAGAGAGAGAGAGAGAGAGAGAGAGAGAGAGAGAGAGAGAAAGAGAGAAGAGAAAGAGAGAGAGAGAGAGAGAGAGAGAGAGAGAGAGACCAAGTCAGGGTCAGAATCAGTATCTCTCGAGTGAGACAGACAGAGTAAAGAGCAACCGTCAGGCAGCAAGGTCTGTGTAAGGGTTGTGTGGAAGGTACTGGTCGAGGGTATAGTCCCGCTGGCGAAGTAAGGCCAAGGGGACTGCATGCTCCAATACTGACTGTTCTGGATGACGGCGCAAGGAGACGTAAGATCACCATGGAAACAGAACAGTAGGGATGCCGACGAGAGCTGCGTGCCAGAGGGGACTTGTGTTAGAAGTTATGTCGGTCATCGGATTCCTTTGAAAGGCTGATGTGCAGTGGGCACATGCTGGAGAACGAGCAAGTGAAGGCCGTTTCCAGTCAGCTGTGTTGTCTGCTGAAATAATATCAAGGTCCAGTGGATGGGAGAATTCGTTCTGTTCTGCTGTACGGCGAGCCCAGAGTTGTGGAACGCTATAGACCTTGGAGCTGTAGCGGTCAAGGAGAGGTCGCTACAATATGAGAGAGAGAGAGAGAGAGAGAGAGAGAGAGAGAGAGAGAGAGAGAGAGAGAGAGAGAGAGAGAGAAAGAGAAAGAGAGCGAGTAAGGACTAGATGGACTA